AATTGATTAGTTATAGTGCCTAAAGTACTCTGGCATTGCACCTCTATTCAGTTTTAAAGTATTTTGGAATGATTTAACATTGAATGTGTGCTCCTGGTCCATACAGCCCAGCCTCAACTGGAGAATGGCTAAGGAAGAGATTGCAATCTTCCTCAGCCATACCAATTCATACCAGCGAAGTGCACTGAGAACAGAAACCTGACATTCAACCAATCACCACCAACCGTTGCTGCTTTGGCTAATGCTTTCTTATTAGTCTAAGCAGCACAGAGAGTACACACTATTGGGTTTAACACTGAACAGAAGGATGGTGCAAGAAAACGCCAAAGTATATAGGCCAGCAATGTTTATGAAATAAATTTACATTGATACTAATCAGACCTTGGGCCTGGTAGACTATCAAGGGAAATGTAGTTCACAAATCTGAGATACCAAGGCTAACTGTCACTGGCCAATAACAACCTAGCATTTAACATTTGTTTTACTTATTATTTCTCCATAGTTATACAAATCTTGGCATGTGTGTTTATAGTACATTTATGAAAGGGTAATATTTCCAGCAATGCTGCATAGTTACTTAAAGGAACACTTCAGATGCCTAAATGTGAATGCCCAGCAGGAATATGTCCCTTTAAATTTTATATAAATATCAGCAAATATGACAATAAGGTCTCTCTGAGTACTTTCCTTTGTCATAAAAAATGTCTCCTAGAGAGGTGAGAAAGTCTCTCTCTATATAAAGATTGTGGTGAGACCATCAAAATAAAAGTCCCCACAGTGCAAATAGAGAAACTAATTTTGTACACAGAACCGGCACAATGCTGATTAGACTCACAAGGAGGAAACTGTACAGTTCAATGTGGTATCTGGTCACCGGTCCTTTAGCTGATAACCCATGGAATCCATCACTTATCTGTGTTCATTTGCATGTCAAGCTCTGGGAAAGTTGCGGAAACATGATTTCTCAAGGTTTCTCAAGAGGGACATTCCAAAGTCCAAATTGAGATATGCAGGTTATGCATAATAGTACATACATATTAATATTTATATATTATAATTAAATAAATCAATACAGTATGACATTTTAAAGTTTTAAAACCCACTAATTAAACTTTCATCCAATGACAAGCAAGCTTTTAAAACAGGTTTGACTGGTTGACATCACTAACAGAACCTGTTTAGAAGGTTATTTACTAACTTTGTGTGAAGAAACTACCCCTGTTATTTCTCCCTGTTCGGTAGATAAAACTACCGGATACCGACCAGCCCCTGGCTCATTCCCTTCAAAGCAAACCACCAATTAAGTGCTCTTTCTGTGTGCGCTGTTCGTATAGCCGAAAGCCACGTGCAAAAGAAAATAGCGGCCATCTTGTTCGCACAAAAGAAGGCAGCGGTACTTGGTCATCGAGTGTCTGGAACCAAAATCAGACACTCAACTTCCCGAACACCGGTCAAACTACATGAACACCTGCTTCCTTTCACAGACCAGCCAAGAGAGCGCTATTCGTTGATTTGTTCCCACTAACTAGGGCAGGGGTAGGCAACCTACGGCACTAGTGCCATGCACGGCACTCAAGGTGTCTTTGCACGGCACTCAAGGCTGCTACAGCCAAACAGGCTCTGGCCTATCAGGAGTCCCAGTGAAACTTCAGATATCTGCTAATACGAAAAGGTGGTGAAGGACAATCCTCAATTTATGCATTGCAGCACGTAGAGGAAGTGATCTCAGATCAATTCCTCCCAACACTTTTGAATGGGAATCCACAATGTAGTAGAGCAGCCTGCAGCTGCTGTTGCAGCTCCTGTCCTTGACCTGTACCTGGCCAGCTTGGTCCCCACTGGAACCCAGGGAAGCCACCCACACTGCTAGATATACACAGAAATGCACAATAACCCTCCCCTCATACAAATAATACTAACAGCCCTCAAACAAACATATATACAATCCGCACAAACGTAACCCGCTAACAATCCACATACATGCACACAACCCCACATGCATCCTTGCACATGCAATACCCCAAACAGCCCCACACATACACACACTACCAAACACACAATGTGACATATCCATCCACACACACAATTCCATAAGCAGCCCCCATACACACATTCATATGTATCCTACACAATACCACAAACTACTCCTGAACATATACAAAATAATAGCTCATATACGCACAAATACAACGATAAAACCAATTACATTATGTGACAGACCCCTCTGTCTTGAAACTATGCTCTATTACGTTGCCTTCGTCTATCCTTCGGTTAACCGCAGCTTAATTGGTGAACGTTGGGATGTCGCTGTTCGTGTAACGCCCACGTGGCGGCGGCCATTTTAAAGTCCCGAACGGCCAGCGGTGTTCGGCACCCAAACTATGGAACTGAAAACGGACACTATTTTGCACGAACACCGCTGAAGCCGCCGACCTCCCTTCTCTGCCATCCAGCACACAAACGTCGGTCCGTTCGGTACTTTCCGCCACGAATAGACGCACCCCAGATAGCCATCCCATGGAGCCCGTTCGTATACCGAAAGACAATGTGAAAGACTTTGGCTCCATGGCGATTGAACTGTATGCATAGGATCTGAGAGGCATTCGGTAATAATGTGCGCTCAGACCCCAGCTATCTGGGGATACGTTGAATGTGGGGATTCTGTTTGTCTAATGTAAAGTTATTGATTTTATTGTATTTTTATGTTCAGGTACAAAATGGAGTTTAGCCTCTATCCATGGAGATAATTTGATTACTTCCCAATTATCTCCAGGTTTATCTACATCAAAGGGGAGTGTTTATGCTAGTGCCACTGTGATTGGCTACTGTATCCACATTGTCCCAGTCTTCCATCTGGTCCCCTAGGGGAGTGTTCACCAGGTGGGAGACCTGCATAAATACCGGGCAGGTAGCCCTCAATAAACCAGATCTCCGCATAATCATCAATACGGAGCTTGGTTTCGTACTTAGGGGTATTGGATTCGTATGATTTACTAGTTCGGCTGTTTGGTTCGTGAAGGATTTCGTATGGTTCCTGTTCGGCTAATTGGAACTGCTGTTAGCTGCTTCTTCATTCGGAAAGGGAACGTCCTCAGCGGTATTAACCCCTCTTATACCAGGGTGTACCGTAACACAGTATAAATAACACAAGCAGAATACGGCAGCATACACACCTCAATTTAAAAAAATAGGAATGGCACGCTACAGGACATCATAATCCTATATCGGCATAGTGCTGCTAAAAGGTTGCCTACCCCTGAACTAGGGGAATAAACACTACCTATGAGCCAGGGGAACCGTTCGTGGATTCATTCTTTTTTTTGTACTTTTCGAAATAGACCGACCACACAGCCCAATTTCACAGAACTATTTTTGGGCAGGTGCATTGTGTGCGGTCAGTCAAATTAAGACCTCCATGTAACTCTTGAACCCCTGAGCCGATCTGGGTGATTTTTGAATATGTTGGTCTCCCAGATTGGGGCTATCAGGGGATATGACTTTTGTGGGGTTCCCATGGAGTTTAGGGTACTTTCTGAGTTTTATGGATATGTATTTTTTTTTGTGTTGGGAGATAATTGGGTTTAGTACAGTGCTTGACTCCATTATCTCCCCAGTACAGGGGACAGATTATATTACTGTCAGTAGGAGTGTCCTGGACCTGAAAGCCAATGTACTTGCAGAATGTATTTTGTCACTGTCCCCTCTCAGGTCCAGTGGGGAATGCCCCTGGAATATGTCAACGTAAACCCTGTACATTGTTAACTGCATATAAACCAGGCGGTTAGCCTGAATAAAGCATTCCTGTTATACCCTTCATCTAGTTTAGGCTGATGTTTGGGTATCTGTCTACTTTGCTGGGAGAATATACTTGGATGCTGTGATTCATCTGGAGAAACGTTCGAATCAGCTCTAGCAGTTCGGGAGAAAATAGGCGAACGGGTATCTGTAATACCAGCGTTCGTTACACTTTGGAATTCTTGAGAATCGACTTGTGAAAATGTACAGCTCCCAGCTGCTTCATAACACTTTCAGGTTTAGTTCATAAAAGAATCACTTAAAGCAGCATGGTCACCTTCTGGGGATTTTGCTGAAATTGAATTGGCAGCTTTGCTTTCATTCATTCCACAAAGAAGAATGTATTACATATATGTGGCTACTGCAAATAGTTAGTGTACAAAGACGTTTAAAGTGGACCCATTGAAATTTTAAAGGGTCGTCTCAAATATAACTTATCAATTATTTTCCGGTTATGCCAGCTCAAACTTATATATGTCCTTCTGGACATCTCATAGAATCTTCGGGTATGGTGGTGTAACACCTATGGAATACAGTGTCATTTCCACTGGTGCACCTTATAGTTCAATCAGTGGAACTCTTATCATATCCCAGCATTCCATGAAGACTGCTTCAAAAATGCAAGAAATATTTCATGAACATCCCAGCTTTACCTTGAACAATTGCCTGCCATCTCACCTAAATACAGTTCAGCCTATGTGACATCATTTCTTCATGGATTCCATCAGCTTTCAAGCAAATGGTGGCAATGCTCTCTTTAAGTCCTTGATAGTAATATATTTAGTATTTCAATTATTTTGTCCACCTTCAGTGTGATAACCACAGTGTGCTTTGAATGTGTTTGATTAAACAAGTTTTCTTTTCGAAATCCATAATTATAGTCCAATAACAACATGGCTTGCTATTATATGTTATAATAAAGCATGTTAGCAGCAGGGCTGTTTAGATTCCTTTTACAATCAGTCCTGCTGTGGCTGTCTGCTCCTCTCCCACATTAGCTGTGTGGCTGTCAGCTCCAGGTATGTGGGGAGAGGCTCCCTGCTCTGTATGAGGCAGTGTAGCAGAGTGCACCTTGCCGGCAGTGTACCTGGCACTGGGATGGACCGTCTGCATGCATTCCTGCCGCTCCTCCCATTCACCTCCCCCTGCCCAGCATTGTCTGCCGCCGCTCACATGGGAGATAGGAAAGGAGGGAGGGAATTGCTATTCATTGCGGGGGCTGGAGGGAGCACAGAGGGTGGAGATGGGTGTTTTAGAAAGCAAAGGCAAAAGGCCATTTTCTGCCCTTCAGCTCAGAGAGAGGAGGAGCCGGGAGAGCAGGTGAAACTGTGACTAAGTGGAAGTTAGGTCGGGGGAGATTAAAGTTCCTGCGCTCAGTCTGGAGCATCAGCAGTGCCTTCAGAGCACCATGTTTGAGCTGTGCCGGTGGATTGGGCTGTGAGGTAGACCAGTCCTGGCTGTGAGGATGGCCAGAGAGCTGAGCCAGGAGGAGGTGCTGGACTTTCTGTGTCAGGGCGGTGGGAAGGTGGCCAATGCCTCGTTGCTGGGTCACTTTAAGAGCTTTCTGAGAGACCCCCAGGCACCCCAAGAGCAGCTGCAGAAGCACAGAGACAGGTTCAAGCGCTATGTGAACTCGGTGGCCGTGGTCAAGCAGGAGGGGGCAGTCAAATACGTGGTGTTAAAAAGCAGGTACCGGGATCTGCTGGGAGAGGAGCTGCGCCCATCTGTCCCACCTGAGCCGGACAACCGGGAGGACGGCATCCGGGGAGATAGCCGGGGTGTGCACCCAGCTGACAATCTCCAGGAATACAAGGGGCCACTGAGGGGCCAGTCTGATGCCAGGCACATTTATGGCAGAGACCATGGGCAGCAGCAGGGTGAGTGGCTGGGGCACAGAGAGATACCTGTACATTCCCTGCCTGAGAGTAATGAGACTGAGATCCCTGAACTTACTGCCTCTGTAAATGGAAACAAATGGGAAGCCCCAACTCAGAGGGCACCCTCCCCTCACCCTTTAACGCCCCAACCCACCTACACAGCACCTATCAGACCAATACCACCCCAGGTCAGCTCCCCACCAGCCAAGCAATCCCCCCAAAACACCTCATTTATCAACATCAGCTCCCCACCTGCCAAGCACCCCACCAAAACCACCTCTTCTCGTAACAGCAGCTCACCACCAGCCAAATACCCCACCAAAACCACATCTTCCCTCAACAGCAGCTCCTCATCCTCCTCCCCAGCCCAGAGCTCGGATCTTCCTAAGGTGCCTACCCCAGATCCAAGTGGCCCCTGGAGACATCCACCTGGCGGAGAGGGCAGACCTGAAGCGGCAAATCCTGCCTCTGTCACCTGCAGCAGGGATCTGAAAGAACAAAGACAAGGGTACATCTCACACACTGAGTTTAATCCACCAAATCCTCGCTTAAATGGTAGATATCCCCAGGAGGTGCACTTTGCGCATGAAGAGCACAATAAGTATGTATACAGTGAACAACATTCTGACATCCAGTACCTGGAGCGGCCAGATTGTCCTTCCTCCTATTACAAGAATCCAGAGCACCCTTCCCCCTCCTCCCTGCTCCCACAAGAACAAGGTTTCACTCCTCCAGATGTGTTGCTGGAAGATTATCCTCCACCAAGCCCCACTCCTTCCCCTCCTTTGCATCACAATGATATGCATGGTATGTGGATGTATGAAATACCAATTTTTAAGAGTATAAGATATCAACTGTCACTGCAGGACCTGGAAGACTTTGTTGACCAAGAAAGTTGTGGGAGTGATGGGAGTGACAGTGGTGAAGGTGGGGACTGTGATACAGAGCACAGAGATGAGGAAGACCTCTCAAGTGACTCCAACAATCAGAAGTGCCAGCCATATATTGAGCAGAAATTTGACCTTCCTACTAGGCACCCTCCAAGTAAAAAATTCCTTAGTATAATTGAACAGTACAATAAACCACAAACTGAGGACTCCATGGGTGTCACAGATATTGCTGCTGAGAGGAACATAAATCCCCTTGTAGCCATTAACTCTAAGGAATCTCCATACATTGCTAAGTCTTTCCTCACTGATCAAGCACCCATCTTATTTGACTTGGCGCTAAGTCACCCAAAAAACAGAATTTACTCAAATCTGCGGGAAAATATGTCATCATCAGATGATGAATTAATTGACAGGGATTACCGAAAAAGAAGGCGCCCATCACGTACAAAGAAACCGCCTAATCTTCCAGTGGCGGCCCCATCACCAGATATAGATAGACTCCTATTTACAAAATCTGTTACAAACAACAGTTTCATTATAAATGACTATTTCCCTGTTGAGAGCCAAATGCACATTGATGCACAGAATGTTTCAGAAGGGCAAACGGATTCTAATCTTAAAAGAACAATTGCTTACAAGTCTTCTTCAGTTCCCTTAGACCAAATGGAACATGACTGGATTGTTAAATCAGCCTCTGGTTCCTGGCTTCAAGTTTATGGCATGTTTAATATGGACCCTAATTTGGCTTTACGTAAAGATTTCATCTCTGGCTACACCGTTCTGCACTGGTTTGCCAAACACGGTTGTGTAGAAATGTTCCAGAAATTTGTAACTGGCGCCAAAAAGGCTGGGATCGAACTGGATATAAATGTAAAAACCAGTTGTGGATATACCCCTTTACACATTGCTGCTATCCATGGCCATTCTAAAGTGGCCACACTGCTAGTGGAAAACCTCAAGGTGAATGTGAAACTGAGAGACAACAGTGGCAAGAGGGCTTGGCAGTATTTAAGCTGCAGAACATCTGGAGAGGTCTGGCAGTTGTTAGGAGCACCGAAGGGTAAAACCATATTCCCATCTCGGGCTTTACCTGTAGTTCACAATTTAAACTCGCACTATGGTTCAAGCCAAATCAACCGAAAAACATCCCTCGCTGCCTTTCTTAAGCCGCAGCACCAGAAATGGAAAGCTAATAACCTCCATGCTTTAAGAGAACGAGAGATTTACAGTGACTGAAAAATTGCCATTTCTATTATTGTAACCCATTCTGTGCCAGGGAGGTGTGCAATATATTTTTTTCCTACCTCTTAGATACAAAAAATTAAAGGTACACTATAGTGTCATGAATACGAACATGTATTCCTTACACCAGAGTGTTAAAATGACTATTTAGCTCCCCGGCTCCCCTTATGTCACAAAACTTACCTTTTCTCCCATGCCCACTTGATGGCTGGCACATCAATCTCAGCTGATCTAATGCAAAACTCCTAGCTGCACCATTCAGCATCCCACATAGGGATGCATTGAATTAATGCATCTCCATGGGTAGCGTTCTGTGCGTGAAGACACTGAACGTAGGTGCAGCACTGGGATAGTAGGCACCTCTAGTTGCTGTCTGCGTGACTGCCAGTAGAGGTGCTCCTAGGCAGTAACGTAAACACCGCTTTTTCTATGAAAAGGCAGTTTTTACAGTGCTCACCCTGCAGGGACAGGCTACAGAGACCAGAACCACTACATGAAGCTGTTGTAATTCTGGTGACTATAGTGTCCCTTTAAGCCACACTTCCAGATTTTATCTGTTTATATTTTTTATCTCATTCTCATTTGTTTCACTTTTTTCTTTTATATAATGTATATTTTATATATATATTTATTTAAACTGTGTATGCACTTAATTTGTCTTTGAATGGAATCTTAATTTTGTTCTACAATAACACTAGACCTGTAAAAAGCCAATCTTTTAGCACAATGGTTATGCAACTTACTATTTATAAGTGACTGTGACAGCACAGCAAGTGTTTCATATCACCTTGCAGGTTGAAAATCATTTACTTTCAGCTGAAATGTAAGGATTTCAATGACACTCTGGAATGTACATTGTGACAGATGCATCCCATTATCTAGACTACCAGACTCAATTAAACATCACTTTTATGAGCTAGAACAAATACAATGTGTGTTGGTCCATTCGTGGACTGCTAGAAAAATTCTCTTATACATTTTATAATACAACTGCTTCATCAATATAGACCTCTAAATCCATCTCATTAGCACACTGTGATAAAGTCCAAAGGTTCTTAAATGTTTAACTTATAGAAGTATATTTGCAATGAAATCTCAACAGTTACCATGGCATTCTATATTACAGAGTGTACCCTCTGGGCGTTGAAAGGGTTATCTTGGACAGACTTACATTTTCTCGATTAGCAATAATATCTAGAGCTTTATTACTATAGCAATCATAACATGCTGATAGATACTTGGCCATAGGACTTCGAGAAGGAAAATTATATCCTCGTGCAGCCACAGAGATTAATTGAATATGAATGATTATTTCTGACTTTGGAAATGATTGGAGGTTGTGTTTCTATATGACTTGATAATGTAAAATACGCTCTGTATATGATGGCTTAGCACATACAGATAGACTCAATTAGAGTTGTTTTTATCTTATTTTATATGGTCGCCTAAATTTACAGCCCTTTTTATTTTAAATACGTTGTTTGGAGTTTATTCAGATAATTAATAAATAGCAGTCAAGATAGTAAGTTGTAAAAATCTCCATTTCAGAAGATACATATCTGTTTTTTTGTCCTAAATTCTGATGTTCTAACCCACTTCTTCTCACTGTTAAGTGAATAATGTTGTTTCTTTATGACTCAAATGCTTGTCTTTATTTTGTATGCACAAAATAAACTACAAATTGTCAGGAATAAATATCAAATTCAAAAGTAAGATTATAATTTTAGGCCAAAACAGCCATTTTTTTTTTTAGTTCAGCTATTTTATCGTAAAATGTGAAATTAACTATGAAATTCTTAACAATTCACACTTTAGTAAAAAAGCTATGTCAGAGTTCTAGGGGACAGCACATCTAAGGATGCCATGATATGGTAGAAAATGCACAATAACGTTTCTATCACAGCTATATTTTCAGAGATCTTTTTGCCAATTAAGGCTTTACTAAAGGAATTTTTCTTTTGCCCAGTTAAAAAAAACAAGATCTTTTACACTGTAGCTGGTTTCCTTTTTTGGATGTAAAATGAGTGACAAACAGGTATTTCTCTTCCAAGATGTGTTCCAGAGACATCTCCATTCAAGTGAGTGGATTCCAAGCACGTTTACATTTAGTAAACTGGGGCAAAAATAGGCTAAAACTTGAAATGTGTCATACATGTGAATAAAGACTATATTTTTACAGATGAGCCAACATTGGTATTTGCATGTCTTTGTGTCCAAGTGTATAATTTTATAGAGGAAACACAGACAGGTCAATAACAGGTTTAGCAGTTGCTGACTCACACAGCACGGAAGCCTCATTCTCTGTATGGTTTAAACACTGTAGAGAATTTATACTTCGAGTAAACATTCGCTTTTTTGTGTGTGTGTGCAACCTTTGACCTTTTGAGTGCAGGAGAGAGAAACCGAGCAGTGTGTTGTAATGCACCGCACGCTTCCCTACCACTCAACAAGGCGAGCTATTTCAACAAAAGACATTTTAAAAATGAAGTATAAATAGTATATTTTTATTTTTACATCAACCACAAGTGCTGTCATTTCTTTAGAGATGGTATATTTTGGGAAAGGTAGATTAATGTAAAAACAAAAAACGGAGATATAATACGCATGAGATGATAAAAAAAAATATATATATATATATATATATATATATACTGTTTTCATCTTTCAGAATTTTAGTCCAAGTTTGACTAATTTGAACCACTTCTAAGAAAATTTGCATGGGCCATCTCTCGTTGTTTCATATGACAGGAAATTTAAAGGGACACTATAGTCACCCAAAACACTTCAGCTCAATGATGTGGTCTGGGTCCCCCAGGTTTTAACCTTTCAGATGTAAACATAGCAGTTTCAGAGAAACTGCTATGTTTACATTTCAGGGTTAATCCAACCTCTAGTGGCTGTCTTCCTGACAGCCGCTAGAGGCGCTTCTGCGACGCTGGATGCGAAAATCGCATCCAGCGTGCGGAATGTCCATAGGAAAGCATTGAGAAATGCTTTTCTATGGACTGTTTGAATGCGCGCGCATTCGGCTCCACTCGGTTGCTGACGTCGCCGGGGGAGGAGAGGTCACCAGCGCCGAGAGAGCCCGGCGCTGGATTAAGGTAAGTGGCTGAAGGGGGACCCTGAGGGTGAGGGGAACCTTAGGATTGTATAGTGTCAGGAAAACGGGTTTGTTTTCCTGACACTATAGTGATCCTTTAATATTTTAACAAAGTGAGTATTTTCTAGAAAGCATTTCCTTAAGTTATGTCTCACGGAATATTCACTGAAGTCAACAGCAACTCAAAGCTTGTAAATTTGGGCAATATCAAAGATACTTAATGACTATATGTATTCTCTCTAAGTACTACTGAGAATTGAATATTTTATAAAAACACTGTAGTGTGCACTGAATACTTTTTGATTTAATGCTAACTGTAGAATGTGCTTTTGAATTTTTTTTTTTTACATTTCTTTGAAAAACAATGTTTTTATATGTTAACCCCTTAAGGACCAAACTTCTAGAATAAAAGGGAATCATGGCATGTCACACATGTCATGTCTCCTTAAGGGGTTAAAGGAACACTCTGAGCACCTTAACCACTACAGGCCATCTAATGATTATGGTGGCAGGAGTGCCCTGATGCCAACATTGTAAACTGGTATAAAATGGCCAGAATTCTGACCTGAGATGTGCTGAGGGCGGTTCCCTATTTCCAACTTTGGCTAACTCATTGGCTGAGAGTGCCAGCTGATTGCTTTCAGCCAATGAGCTAAGCCCTGCACTGCCGAGTTTAGTTCAGCTAGAGAGATTTAGGTTTCTGTCTGAAGTAGTGGAGATAGGGAGTGGTATCCAACGTACTCTAGAAACTGTTCTAAAACCGTTTGATTACTTATAATGCGACGGCACCATTGCCATGACACCATAACCACTACAGTATGCTGTAGCATTTTTATTGCTGGGACTGTTCATTTAATAGTGTTTATAGAGAATAAAGCACAGCAAACAGTGAGCTTTCTTTGTCTGAATTTCTTAAAGGAACTCTCTAAGGTTAGGAATATAGACCTGTATTCCTAACATTATAGTATTATCTTCTCTGTTTAGATTTAGGGACCTGTTAATAACGTAAAGTGCTATGATAAAGGCTGCCCTTTTCCTACTTTTGCTGAGAGCACCATTACTGGTGATCTCAGTCAAACCAATGCCTCTCCATAGGGAAGCATTGGGGGTACAGTGTGCATGCGTGGCAATCGAAATGCTGCACTAATCAGCTTCTCCACATAAAAACAGACAGACAAAGAACAAAACCAACAACAAGCTATTTGAAAAATACCCACTCTCCCAATGTTTGTTTGCTGTTTTCCATCAGCTGCCAATGCTTCAGTAAAAGCAAGAATGCCACTGGCAGACACATGCACAGGGAATGGGAGAAGCCATAGGACTCCATACAGGTTGTGTCCAGATGTGTTGGTATGCCTTGGATCATGTTCATTTCTTTAGATACTTCCTTCTATCCATCAAGCTGGTACAGTTTTGTTTTCATGTTATCTGTCTAGCTTAGCATTAGTTTCCACCATTTTTGTACACTTTTTATTTTTTTATTTATTTTTTTACAAACCGTAACTTGGCTATATTGTTTTTCAAGCTTGACAGTGATGTGCATTTTGTAGCAAATGCCTTTTTATGGTTCTCTGGCACACACATCCTTGCACAATAGAGATTGTCGTTGATCTATCATAAATCCGGTTTTCTTTTCAAATGCACGTGTGCTAAGCAGCCAGTTTCTGTATTTAAAATCACAGTTAATGGTATAGCGATGCAAACTTTAAAACATTATCATCATTGTTTCTTTTTCTTTTCAAACGGAATGTGATGAATGCAGAGCCAAAAGATTGTGTAATGTATTAAATACTTAAGGAATGCATTGTAGGTAGGGAAGAGAGACAACACACACAAATATATATTTACATAATGTATCTATTATAATCTATAAGCGCAAACACATTTATTTATATATTACTTGCTTTGTTTTAGAATAGCATGCTTCACAATTGGTGGTGTCATCTGTGTAATTATTCCTCTAAATGAATGGGGAAAAATGCATATACCAACCCTACAGTGGTCTGGGTGCCATCAACATTACTAGCACACCCCTAACAATGCTGAAGTCCCAATGTGTAAGAAAAAATCCCTGAGTTCTTTGTGTGAGTGGTTTTTCACTTATTTTAAATGTGTTTACTTGGATAGGTGTTCATACCGGAGAACGCTTATAAGTGGAGCTCATTGACTAGTGTATATAACAGAATTTTCGTTTTTGCTCCTTATCCTCGGGCTTTGCTTTTCTACCTGTTCTATGATTTCTACCTTTCTGTTCCGTTTGTTTGTTATTGTCTTTCTTCCCTATAATGTATAATGATCCTCAGTACATAATGTGATCTTCAGTCCCGTCCATGTAGAATAAAGCCATGTACCTAAATTAATCAGCAAAGAAACACAGATAGCAAGTTTACACCTCCCACAACCCTGTAAAGAAAAACAGAGTAAAATGTAAGTACAGATGTAACTATCACGAGTACAGCTTTATGACTGTATAAGTGTTTGGTTTTTAAAGGAAAACTCAAAACACCATAACCACTACATTGTGCTGTAATGGTTACAGTGCCAGGAATGCCCTGGAGCCCACCGCATGTAGGCATTATACCATTTACATACAGTTTCACTACTTACTCGGATCAGTAGGGCTTGAAGTGCTCCTTGAATTAATGGACACTATTGATATCAAACAGAATTAAAATAAGATACCTAAGTTTCGCGTACGGGGTTATATGTGTATTCAGAATAATTATATATCCATTGAGAATATCATGTTTTACATATTTACTGGGGTTGTGGTTTTGGGTGTTCTTTTGGGACCATGCTCTGCATTTTCGCACACCAACACTACCTTAACACTTACACTACCCCTAAGCTAAAATATAATGCAATTTATAAAATGTACATAATAGGAGGGCCGTGCCATCTTAAGTTTTGGACACGTGTATACCGTAATTCCCTTGCCTTGATCTTCAGTCTCAAAGTTTAATGGTGTTTCCAGAACCTCATTGTGGCATTATTTTGCAATAATTTGCGGTTTACATTAAATATATCATTCTAATTTATTATGAGAATGAAGGCAGCAATTAACAATGTGCTGTGATATTTATAATGTTGCATACTGTACCCTGCTAACAATTAATTATTTTTTATTAGACTTGGGTCTTATTCAGATTCTTCTTCCTTTGTCTCTGATTACCCTTTAACCAAGTAACATAATATTCTGAAACTGAAAAGCTGCTTGCTCAAACATGCACATTTTCACACTGAATTTCATTTGGCTGGTTATTTATATTTTGAATGAGCTCCTCTTTTGCTTATTTTTTGGTTGGGAAGATTAACTCATTAATAGCATTCAATTTATCCTGTATTGTGGGAAGGATGGACATATGGAACAAGTAAAATAGTGCAGTAGTAAGAGTTTATGGGCCTGGAACCCAATTAATATAATGGGCCAGTTACAGAATTTTAATTTGTTTCTATTGTCATAGTAGCTACTATGTAGTATGGCCTCAATTTAATATTGCTGGATAAGCTGTTCAAATTATTTGATATTTTTGGATATACTTTAAAAAAATATAATTTTCTTTTAAAAAATAAAAAGCTATATAAAAAAAAACATAATTGTATTACAAAATTAAAATGTTTCATACTTCTAAATCATTTTAAATATTTATCCAACAATATTAAATTGAGGAAAAAAGAAGGGGGTTGGGGCTGCGCTGTGTGGATAGTTAACTAAAAGTCAATGGATATAAAACATACGTTGATAAGTACTAAAACACTGATAAATAGGTATAGTATAAAAACATATAAAAGTGATGTCCGTATAGATGTATTGATAAAAATGGGTAAAAAGTAGAGAAATTCCAAATGGAGCAAAATGTAACTTTATTAGTCACATGATCGGACCTTAAGAGATTGCCGTGCGCATGCGCGAACGGGGATCGCCGTGCGCACAGCTATTTTCGCATGCGCACAGCAGTCTCCGCCTGCGCAGGCGCACGGCGATCCCCGTTCGCGCATGCGCACGGCAATCTCTTAAGGTCCGATCATGTGACTAATAAAGTTACTCTTAAATAAGCTAACAGAGCTTCGTTTTATATAGATAAATACATTTTCTACCTTAAGATAATTAAATCCATGTATTAAAGTAGTTTTTTATTCTTTTTGAATCTGTAAAAGTTGATTGTTTTAATTCTTGTTTCTAATTGGTGCAAAAAAATTTTGCCGCCAAATTCAACTCTGTGTATCCTTATAAATACTGTTTTATGCCAGGTATAATGTTCTATTACCATTTTGAAAAAACCTCATTGGTGAAACGCGTTAATGGTTTTAAATAGTGTATTTTAAAGCAATAAAAGTTATTTTTGGTTACCTCTTCTGTAGGACCAATCTTTTACTTATTTTATTGTACCTATATACACTTTTAGTTAACTATCCACACAGCACAGCCCCAACCCCCTTCTTTTTTCGTCTATTTTAAAGGGTTTCTGAGGTACTCCTTTTGTGGGTTGCAGCTCCCTTGTTATTAAGCGCAGACTCTTCCCCCTCCATTTTTTTATATTAAATTGAGGCCTATGTTTCCTATGATTAGGTGAGCCTAATGGGTGACTACACATAATTACAGAAGTGAAATCCACTAACGTTCTCTCCAGGGCCAGACTGGGGATACAAAGCAGCCCTGGAAAAATCTATGAAAAAATCTATGCCAGCCCCATAAGTCATTGTGCCATATATTGTCGCATGTAATATGTATGTCTTGCCACCCCAGATGATTGAGCAATATATATATATATATATATATATATATATATATATATATATATATATATATATTGCTCAATCTATTTCTAATATAAAATAATGGTCCTTTCAGAGTAAAACGTTTAATTATACAGTAAGCATACTTACATGAAGACACAGACAATCTCACTGGCACACACAAGCTCGTTAAAACACAGCCTAATAGACAAACAATCTCCCTGATATACATAATCTCAGTGACACCTCTAGTGACAGTTACTCAGACGATCACTAGAGGTGCTTCCTGTGTCACCTGGTGCTTTGTCAGCATTATTGCATTAGGCTTGTCAGTAAAAGCAAAAAATTAAAGAAACCACTGTGGTACTCCGCAGATGTGGCCAAAATAGTTAAAAACAAAAAGTTAGCATTTAGGAATTATAAAAAAACCCAGAGTGAGGGAGACAAAATGATCTATAAGATTAGGCAGAAAGAGGCTAAGCAAGTTATAAGAGCTTCCAAATCACACACAGAAGAGAAAATAGCACAGTCAGTAAAAAAGGGGGAT